GGTCAAGTTAGCACACTGAGAGAGAAGGAGAAGAGAGATAGACAAAAAGGTAGATAGCTCTGATAACCAGATGTCCCAGACCTGTGTATGGAGGCTTAGCACCGTTTATATATTTTATGTGCGCTCTCCTCTATCTGTCTTCCTTTTGGCGCGTGGATATGTTCCCTTCTCACATTCCTCCGCGTGTAGGTGCAAATATCGCCAAACATCAAATGAAAAAACCACTAAAAGGTATTGGCGTGAACGGATAGCGGAATCTTCTCCCTGCAATCCTGTCATACCGCGTAACATATCTCACTGAGCTATGCATAGCGCGGCACCATGCCCTTACCTAAGGACCATGCAACCTGTCTGGTCTCTTTGATTGAACCTGAACGAGGGCTCCGACGGAGCTAAACAGTTATGATCGAGCTCCCCTTTCGATCTAGTCTCCAGAGGACAAACTCTGTCTAACTCAACAGAGCACACCCCTCTACCGAGCTAGTAACCCGAAGTTATCTCAACTCAACCGGGCTACCACTTCGGTTCAGTGTGTTTCCAATATTTGACCGAGTAAAGACCCAAACTTCGGCCCAAATTGGCTCGGCCCATTATCAAGTCATAAATCTCCCTCTCAATCCTATTAACTATTTTAGTCAAATTTGCTTTCCAAACGGAGCCTTAAACTGTACTCTTCTTCAAACATTTTGACAACCATGCCCCCTCTCGTTCATATAATGTTACCTGGATACAGTGGGCATTGCGGCTATGGAAATATTGATTCTGGATTATTTTGAAAAGATGGTTAAAAATTATTTTTTTTTGGTTTCTTTTTGAAAAATTTATAAAAAATGTGAGAGATGATATGACTAAAAAATAACTTTTAATCATCTTGTCAAAATAACCTTTCATAAAATTTCAAGGCGGGAAAACCGTTCCAATTGAAGTTATTTTTTTATATATTTTCCATCATTAAAATAATATAACAAGAGTTGGTTTTAAATTTATATTGAGATGCTATTGTGGAGAGCTTGTCTTGGGTTGTTGTTAAGCTTATTATGTGTGTGTTTGGGAAGTGGGTTTTTTTTGTAGGTTTTTGTAGTTGTAGGATATTATTGGAGAAATTTTATTTTGTGTTTGGGAAGATATTTGGGTTTTTTTGTAATTGGATGATGTTTGTGAGAGAAAAAGTGAAATGATTATGGGGTTTGATGTGATATTTTGTTTAGATTGGTTTTTTTTGGTTTTGTAACTAATTTGTCTTTTAGCAATTTGGTACTGTGTTATTCTAGCAGGAAGATCAAGCCCAGAACTCAACAAAATGTGTGCAGTGAGTTTGTTTGCCCTGCTTGTTATGTTAAATTAAATCCCCACTTGGTAGTTATTTCCTGGAAATGATTTAGCTACTTCCTTGGGAAATCATTGTCTAGTGATGCCAGCTGATTTTTCTAAACTTTGAAGACAAATCTTCATAAATTAAAATAGACAACTACCTAAGAAAGAATAGAAAAGGTAACTTGAAAAAAAAATTAGTAGAGAAAGCGGTTAGAAAGAAAACACAGAATGTGAAAGAACTTTATTTGTTGAATCCTGGCAAAGATCCTGATGTTCATTCGAAGTTATGACATAAAATGCATGCCCAAATGCGAGTATATTCTTCTAGTTTACTAAATGGAGTAAATTACTATGATAAAGACTCTGCGCAGGATCCAAGAAGCACTGTCCACAGTTGATAAAGATCAGCCGTCATCACTAGCAGCTGTTGCACTGAAGGAAAAGCGGTTGATATTTACCTGGCTTGATGGGGAAGCCCAACAAGTGTCACCTTTTGTTTGTCAGGCATGTCAATGTTTTCCAAGTTTAGGTGTAGTTCAATTCACATTTGTCGTAGTGAATGGATTAATTAATTTGAGGATCATGTATGTGATGTGTATGGTACTTGGTCGCAATTTATTCTAAAATTTTATTCTCTGTTGAACTTAGTTGGGATCACTATTGGCATTGGAAGATTTTTGCCAAAGTGCCAGTATCTTAATCCAAATGGTGGCCTAAGTTGGAAAAGGTCGTCAGTGATTATTGCTGTTATAAATTCTGACAGTGTTATACTGCCATAAAATGACGTGAAATTAAGTAAAAAAGGTAGAAATGTTTATGAACCTCAGTGCAAATATCAGGGTTTTTGATCCCCACTTGTGAATGTTTGAACCTTAACGTTGTGCATATTGTGTTGTATTTGAAAGTAGTGGTGTTACAAAATTTTTGAGGTTGGAGTGCATGAATTAAAAAGTGAGTGATTGTTTTAGTGATTCCTTTAATTAATTGGAGTTTGGCGATTGTTTTAGAGAATTCCTTGCTGGTTTTTTAGATGAATTAATTTTAGGTTAAGTTTGATATATATATGTATATATATATATATTCTATTTTTAAAAAGGTGATGGCCCTACGCTGATTAAGATGGTTGTTATGTGCAACAAAGATTTGTAGTTTGGTTTGGTTTGGTGGTTACCATTCCAGTCTTAGTGGCTAAGTGGTTGAAAAAGTTGTGAAGGGACTTTCTTTGGGGTGGGTTAGGGGATATATTGAACCAATTGGTTGATTTGATACAGTTCACTCCCTTATTTGAGTGGGTGGTTAGGGATTTGACGTCTTAAAATCTTCAATCAAGCTCTTTTGGGAAAGTGGTTATGGAGTTTTGTGTGTGAGCGGGATAGATTTTGGAGAAGGTTTATGTTGGCAAAAATATGGCTGTAGGCGGGGTGATTGGATGTCTTTGAAGGTTTTTGTGCATCGATGTGGGCCTTTGAAAGGGTATTAGGAAGGTTGGGTATGTTTTTCACCATCATGTGAAGTTTGTGTTTTGAGGATTCAGTTTTGGTGACATCTTTGCTGTGGAGAGGAGTTAGAGCTGGCCTGTCTAGCTCTAGACAAATAGCAATTGATAGATGGGTTGTTGTTAGTGATTATGTGAGGAGGGAGAGGGATCACATCTTTTGGGACATTTGGGTCTTACTTTTAGTCTTGTTTGACGTGGTTGGGGTCTTCCCTTCAAATGCTTGGGACCTTTTGCTTTCTTGGAGAGTAGCCAGAGTTGAAAAGAGAAAAAAGAGGTGAATGGCGGTTAGGACCTCCCATTTTATTTTGGAACATCTAGAGGCTTTCTTGGAGGGTAGCTAGAGTGGAAAAGAGAAAAAAGAGGTGAATGGCGGTTAGGACCTCCCATTTTATTTTGGAACATCTAGAGGGGGCTTGATAGAAGAAGTTTTGATAATCTGATTCGTCGTGGTCATATGTTAGTGAACTGTGTTGCATGTGCTGTGGATATGCGGAGATGGTGGATTACTTGCTTGTTTGTTGTCCGGTTACTTCACGTCTTTGGATGTTTATTGTTGCTATTTTTGGTTTTCCTTGGATTCGACAATGGTCAGTGATGGCAGTGTTATAGAGTTGGGCTGGGGAAGGGTTGGGAAGAGATGTCGGAAGGCATGGAAGCTTGTTGGCCATTGTTTGATGTGGCTAGTTTGGTTGGAGCGTAACAGGCGAGTTTTTTTGGGAGAGACGCGTTTGGTGCCATGGTTCGAATGGCGTTTGTTCACTGTGTTCCATGGCTAGATATCGTTATCAGTACACCCGGATGTGCTAACTTTTGTTGACTTTGTAGAGGACTTGATTCTATAGTTGTTTTGTTTTACTCTTGTATATGTTTTTTGCTTGCTTTTGGTTTTATATTCTTTGTATCGTCTTGATGCTTTTTCAATGAAGTTTGCTTATTATCAAAAAAAAGAAAAGAAAAGAAAAGGGTCTTAAGACTTCCATTTTTGTTTTAAAAGTAAAATTCTAACCATCTTTTGCAATTGGATCTCGAGAGCCTTCATTGAATCCGTTTTTGAATTTTGTTGAGAAATTTGAATATATTGATGTATAGGAGTTGTTTTTTTTTTTTTTTTTTGGTTCTTATAGCGTAAAACATGGGCAGCATCTGTTGAGAGTTTATGAATCTAGTTGTGTTCTGGTGTCCTTGGACATAAAAGGTTTGATGAACTTGATAGTTCAGCACATGCAGGCACCTGAAACCCGTTTCCGAGTGCATGTAACATAGCTTTGAAGTTATATGAAGATATAACTATGTCTATATTCCTATGCCTATAATACATACCTGTTGGGATATATTTACATATACATGTATAAGTATAACACAACCCCAGATTATACATTCTAAGACTTTGTGAATCTCCGTTCCTTATTTTTGGAGCTTCCACAATTGAGAAGTGTGACGTCCATGGAGCTGGGTTGTGATGCCCGTGGCTATTCTCATGCTGGAAATGAAACAGCGATTTGGTACTGTGTTATTCTAGCAGGAAGATCAAGCCCAGAACTCAACAAAATGCATGCAGTGAGTTTGTTTGGCCTGCTTGTTATGTTAAATTAAATCCCTACTTGGTAGTTATTTCCTAGAAATGATTTAGCCACTTTGTTGGGAAATCATTGTCTAGTGATATCAGCTCATTTTTCTAAACTTCGAAGACAAATTTTCATAAATTAATATAGACAACTATCTAAGAAAGAATAGAAAAGGTAACTTGAAAAAAAAAATAGTAGAGAAAGCGGTTAGAAAGAAAACACAGAATGTGAAAGAACTTTATTTGTTGAATTCTGGCAAAGATCCTGATGTTCATTCGAAGTTATGACACAAAATGCATGCCCAAATGCGAGTATATTCTTCTAGTTTACTAAATGGAGTAAATTACTATGATAAAGACTCTGCGCAGGATCCAAGAAGCACTGTCCACAGTTGATAAAGATCAGCCGTCATCACTAGCAGCTGTTGCACTGAAGCAAAAGCGGTTGATATTTACCTGGCTTGATGGGGAAGCCCCAACAAGTGTCACCTTTTGTTTGTCAGGCATGTCAATGTTTTCCAAGTTTAGTTGTAGTTCAATTCACATTTGTCGTAGTGAATGGATTAATTAATTTGAGGGTCATGTATGTGATGTGTATGGTACTTGGTCGCAATTTATTCTGAAATTTTATTCTCTGTCGAACTTAGTTGGGATCACTATTGGCATTGGAATATTTTTGCCTAAGTGCCAGTATCTTAATCCAAATGGTGTCCTAAGTTGGAAAAGGTGGTCAGTGATTATTGCTATCATAAATTCTGACAGTGTTATACTGCCATAAAATAATGTGAAATTATTTACATTATAAATCATTCAATCTAATAGCAGGATTAATTCTGAAACATAAAATGCTAAAACCACATGTGACCTTTAGCCTTGCAAATGCAGGGTATCAAAAAACATGGTCACAACTTCCTTATGCGCTATACTCTCGTGCTGTAAGCAGCTGAGAATTTCTACTTGAAACTTTTGGAAATGTCCAAGAATCCGATTGCATTCATAGACCTTTTGACATCTGAATATGGTTTTTTTGAGAAGATTAGAGAGGCTTGTCACTGATTTGGAATTTTAGGATGTAATTCTCATTTTTATGGCTCTTTTTTTCTTTTTCTTTAAAAAAAATTTTAAAAAAAATTAAAGTACTTTTTAATAATCTTTCAAAATGTGTGTTATTAATCTTAGAAAGTTAATGTATGATTTGAGCCACAAATCCTACAATATGTCATGTTTGTACGGATATATTGTGTATTTAAAAGATGTATTGAGGCTCATTTCGAGGCAAGGCTAAGGTAAAATGCATTGAGTTTTTTATTTTTTATTTTTGGGCCAAACTCTCCAAAGACTTGCACATCACAATTTGAGACGTGCAACTCATGTGCACCTTGTACTCGTTTTGCACATAAATATGATGAGCCATGTTACATGGATTCTTTTACTTCCCCCATAGTACTCGTGGCCACTAGATATGACATGGGTAAGGGTGTGAGATATGTGTTCGACACTCGTACCCAATTTGAACACTCAGATCTTTTAATTTGTGACAATACATAAAGAAAAAACTGACATTTGTTGGTAAAGCAATATTTTTAGCCTCTCACATTAAATTGGATATAGAAATTTCATATGTTTCTTGTATCCGATTTAATTTCTACTATATTTCTACACAATTTACAACATCTCACCCGAGAGTATCATATAATATGCAATATATATTTGCATATGACGTGTTCCGGTACCCATATCCAATTTTGGATATGTATCCCAAGATTCAAATTTATGAAGGTCTGACGCTTGGATACACACCTGCACCTGATACTCGTACATGAGTCTATGTAACAGTACGTATATGGGGAGCTTGTCTTGGGTTGTTATTAAGCTTATTATAATACCTAGTTTTTTTTTTTGATGATCTAATACCTAGTTTAAATTTAAACATAAAAAATAAGAACCTCTTTTGTAACAATCATATTCTGGGGAAAAAACCAAGAAAAAAATATAAAGTTAAGACTCCAGCAAGAAGTTCAATAACTGAAACTAAGAATGTCAAGTTCATCTTCGATGAGGGCAAGTTTCCTATTCTGTAATGAAATGTTCAACAACACCTTGAGGAGAAAAGTATTTATACATACATTTATATTTAATTTTAAATAACTTTTTCTCACTATATATAAAAATTTTAAATTTGAAATGCTTGTGTGTTGATTCTTGGTCATTTTAAAAACTTACGCTTTCACATTTAAAAGTTTTGGTAAATACATATTTAGCCATGGCCTATCTAGCACAAAGCATGTCAATTGTTTGGTGTATTAGATTATGTTCTCCATGTGAGGCATGGCCAATTAAAAGTATTCATCATTCCTTGTTTTCCTATTTGAGTTCAAACCAACTTTTGGAACTCAATATTGTTTTTGAGTTTTTTTGTTTTGTTTTATTTTTTGTCTTTAGTGAATTTTTTTCTTCATATTTTAGTTTTTTATTTTTATTTATTTATTTATTTTTTTAGATCTGCCTATTTTAGATGCACTTAAAATTTAAAATATTTATAAAAAAATTTGAAAAAAGTTGATTGAAGACAATTTCAGATTTTTTTACAAATATTTTATTTTTTAAGTGCATCTAGATTAGACGCATCTAAAAAGTTTAAAAAGAAAAGAGAAAAAAAAAAAAAAACCCTCCCCTCCCAAAAAAAAAGTTGAAAAACAAAAAATCTCAAAAGCAATTCATAAACTAAACCAAAGAAGGTGAAAGTTTTTGATTATGATTCTTGGTCATTTTAAAAACTTTGGAGGTTATCTTTCACAAAAATTTTGTACTCTTGTTGGTTGATTCTGTTCTATGGATCGAGCTATATGTACAGGATTCATCTCAAAGAATGAAATACAAAGAAGTGTAGAAAGTACATAGAATGAATTGCTGTGATCAAGCCATATGTACAAATAATGTGATTCCTCTCCAGCTATACAAATAATGCTATTTAGTGTAGAAAACAGAAGGTGTTATATAATAAAAATTTTCACCATGTAGCGTATGTGAGGCATGTAGTATTATATTGCAAAGGTGAAAATTATTCATAAACTCCAATAGTAATTGTGTAAGATGTCATTGCAGCAGCATTGTACATATGATTAGAGGTTGTTTGCTTTTGCTTTGTGTAGTTGAAGGAATGATCTTTCTATCTCTCCACTATTATTTCTAGAACCATTTGTAGGTTTTTTATTTTTTATTTTTTATGTAGAAGTATGTGTGCTTACTAATTATGGATTATAATAGTTTAATTAATAATGATCATGTTGGACTATTCTATGCTGGAACATTTAACAAATGATCTTTTGCAACTGTATTAGTCACTAAATTTCTCTTCTCCAACTATATTGTTTTTCCACACTCAAATGGAGAACAACTATGAAACATGTGGACCTAGGAGGGTAATAACAGATGTGCCACAGTTAATTATTGTACCTTACAAAAGGAATGCTACCGAGGATAGTATTAAAATTGAGGGGAAAAAAGCCAAAAAACATGTTGGAGGCATTTTTGAATGACGATGTGGATCCGATCTGTTGTGCGGTACAATGGTTCTGAAGAAAGTTCAGACATTTGGCCTTTGATCTGTTGTGCGATGGATTTTACTGCATGTTTTAATTATTGAGATATGTTTCACTCTGTATTGAGCAGTTAATGCAAATGCAACATTCTTTGTGGTTTAGTGCACCTTTTCACGTTGAGTTGTTTCTATTTTATTTGGTTGGCAGATCATCAAGTGGATCTCTCAAATAATCAAAGATGGTGACTCTAGGGAGCTCCCCTTTTTTGTAAGTTAACATAGACAAGCTTTTTTTAGAATTAAGCTTCCTTTTGGTGCTTGAATGGATGAATTAGTATATTTTGCTGAGGGGTTTAATTACCTTCACTCCATTATTGATACCTAAGAAGCACGAACACGTGACACGACGTTGATGCACCGACATGTAAATTTTTAAAAAATGTAGGACACAACATGTTCAGGACTTTTGCAAAATATATAATTTATTTATTTATCAACCCTATGTCATATATAATGATAAATAATTATTATGTCATATATATGAATATTTAAGTAAAATATATCCATTTTTAAAGTATAAAGGAGGAGAACAGGTATAAATTTACTTAATTTTTGTTGTATCATTATATTCCGAGTTATTTATTCAAACTCGTAGTATGTTTCATTAGTGTTGTTGGAAAGTGTCCGGCTATAAGCAAGGGTACTCTGAAAATATTGCCATACTCATACCAGGTACTTATAGGGTACTGGTACGCGTACTGTTAGGGTTGCATGCGTATCGGGGCACTTGAAATACTTATTGGGTTCGTAGGTACATGATGGGTACATCGGGGGTACACCCAACTATGGGACATTGGTGGTGATACATTTAATTTATTAGAGAGTTATGATTTACTTGAAATTGCAAATCTTTTACTTGATGTGTCAGAGATGAAAGATATAGTATTCAATGATGAGGTTGATGAAAGTGTAAATTGATGTTTCAAGTTTCCAAATATTACTTAGTTTGCTTTTGGAATGAACCTTTGTTTTGTAATTTCTCATATTTAATGGCATTAAAATAGCTTATAGACTTTGTTTTGGTATTGGTGTTGTTGAATTGTGATTTCTCTTTTGGTTTTGTAATTTCGCCTTCTAGTTTTGGTATTAAACTTTGATTTGTAGGTTGAATCTCAAACTATAAATTATGAAAAATAAAAAATTTGTTGACGTACTCCAGCTGTACCCGTATCCTTTCTCTTTTTTTTTTTTTTTTTTTAAGATTTTGCCGTATCAGCATACCAGTACCCGCGCCTGTGCTACTTAGGTGTCTGGTGAGGGTCGGAGACGGCACGTTACGTTCTTAGAAGTGTTTGTGCTTCTTAGATTGATACTCATTAAACTTTGTAGTTTTTTTAAGGAAGTATACACTCTGTACCTTAGAGTTGCATCTCTTACATACAAGATGTCTGCTCAAACCTTTTTTGTTTATCTCATCGCTGAGAACAAAAACTCCTGCACTTGTTCCTGAAGATGCAGATCCTATTTGGTAAGTAGGTGCCAAACCATTCTATCCAAAGGGACAGGAATGAAACAGAGAATTGGTAGCATCATGAATGGAATCCACAATCGCCTGGGAGATCAAAGGATTGGCCCAGTCTTCCTCTTGGAAGCATTGATGTCTTTTGGCAGCATCTGGCTGCGAAGGAGCCAATCAACTCACCCAAGTCAATCAAATAATCAAACTCAACTGAGCAAAAAAGTAAGTCATGGCATATTGTGCTCCTAGGAGCATTGTTATTGTTTTTTTTTTCCCCAGCCATTATCTTCATCTCCAATCCAATGTGATTTCCTTGATATTCTTCTGACTCATGATTAGTCCTTTCTTTTATTTCCCTTTTCTACTTTTCAACATCATTATTTTCTTTCTAATTATTTTTTATATATGTGATGTCTTGGCTGCATAATATTTTACTTGATTAATTTAGTAACTTCTATTGATATTCTGTTAGGATAAGTCCACCCATGTGAGATATGTGGGTCCCATTCATTTGTTAGGTTAGTTTAAACATGTATTTGGAGTAGGATAGTAGAGTCCGGAATCCATTGGGGAACCCAATGCGTAGGTTTTGGTTA